TTTTGGCGTGTTAAAAATGGAATAGTATTTTTTTATAAACTACTTATTTGGGTTATATTCCAATATTTTAGGCATGAGATAGACAATGACTTAGGTAGGCACACATGACGGATACAAGATTTTAAATTAGGGGGTGCGAACTTAAACATATAAAATTTTAGGAGTAGAAAACATATTTTCAATAGAAAATATATAGAAAAAATCTAAAATATATAGTAATTTTAAAATTTTAAGGGGTGACTGCCCCACCCGCCCTCGCTTAGGTCCATCTCTGTAGACACACACATATATATACTCTTTTTTTTCGAGATAAGGTAAAAAAATTAATTTTATTTATTAAAAAAATAGAATTGAGAAGTAAAAAAAAAGAAAAAGAGAAACATTGATACTGACTATATCACAAATAATATTCAATAACGATTAAGAAATATCAACATGAGAAAGAATAAGTTAAAATTTTAGATTGATTTGATAAATAAAAATATGATGATATCATGTTTTTGTTAAAGACTTAACATCTGAGTGGCTCAAACGAGCCTAATTTATTAAAATATAATCATATGATTAAAATAAAATATATTTAAAATTTAAGTATGTAGTTTACCCTGGTTATTTGAGGAGTTTTAAAAAACAGTGAAGCGCTGCGTTTTGTGTGGAAGAAAAAAACGAACGGAACGGTGTCGTTTAGAATCATTCTATTTCTTTTGACCCATTGGCCACAATACAAATAAAGAACAAAACCTTGGTGCCTAGAGCTTAAACCCTGATACTCAAGCGAGCGAGCGAGCGATGAGCTTTAAGAATCTGATTCCTTTGGGATCCTTTCTGGTGGGAAAGCTTTGCACTTCGGTCGCCGACAATGCAACGGCTTCAGGGACGAGGGTGGTGGCTCGAAACAGAAACAGGTTGTACCCAAGACTGTCGGTTTTAGCAGCGACGGAAGTGACGGAAAAGGATCAGGAAAGAGGAGCTGATGACGAAATTATCTTAGTAAATCAACGAAAACAATGAACTTGTTAATATATCTTGGATAATTACCTCAAAATTTAAAATCAACTCAATATTTTTAATAATTCCAAACATTAAAAACACAAACTCATTATCAATATCAAATAATAATTTGAAAAATATTGAAACATTGAAAACTCAAAGAAAACAATAAGTAAATTAATTAATTTTACCTTTATGTTAGAATGTGATTCGATTCGATTTGTTTTTTTTTTCTTAAAATTTGTTAAAAATTTAATAATATCATATCAAATGATGAAGATTGTCGGTTAAAGGCATAGAGAAAAGAAAATTTTGAGGAAAAGAGGGTTGAATACAGTTGATTAAAAACTTGAAAAAGGGATTTTTTTTTAATTTTTTATTGTTAAATATTTTATAAAAAAAAAGGTAGGGTTAAGGTGGTGTACAATTAAATTTTAAAAAGTAAAATATATGGAGAACGTTACTATTGACTTTTTATGTGTAAAAAAAGTAAATTTTAATTTTTTATTATTAATTTTTTTAAAAAGACTGGACTCACATTTTAAAGAGTATCGAAATTTCTTAAAAGATGTTTTATTTTTTTATTTTTTTATTTTTATACCATATATATTAAATTTATATAAAAAAAATTAGAAATTTTTGAGGTGTCAATTATCGTAACGTTGCTCCGCTCATAGAGAAAGAGACGGTAAAAGAAGATACAACCAACGATGTTCCCATACGATTCGAATACCAACTAGATGTCTGTAAACCAACCATTAAATTTTGGAGATTTTGTCCCGTTCTCTTTTGCCCCCTCAATCATTACACTACCAGATAAATCAGTCCCTCAATACATTTATTATTTCAAATTTATTATAAAAATTAACTAATGTGACATAAATATCACGTTGAAGTTGAACTTGTCAAAATCTTAATGTTTTCGTCTTGATATTATTATTTAAAAAATAGAAATTAGTAATTTTAACTTTTCTTTAAAAGAAAATTAATAGAAATTGTCATGTTTTATATATTTAGTACATAAAAGTTCTTTTCATAAATAGTAACGATCAAAATATAAAATAATAATACAATACTTAAATTAAAACAATATAATTTAAATATGTATTTTTAATTAATTTTTTATTTTGTGACTTTGACTTGCCCCATGCCTATGTGCATCGATCTGTCGTCACTAACTTTGGATTATAATAAAAATCTTCTAATGCGGTCGAGAAAAAAGAAATAATAAGAGAGAAGAGAGTCTTTGCTTTCAGTTACGACTCGCGAGTCAGTTACAACAGTGGAAATGGAGGAGGGTCCATACTCCATAGCATCAAATGTAAAGGACAGTGTTCTACAAAGTCTAGACGCTGAAAGAAAAGAGAGGGAATTAATTTTTTATTTTATTTTTAAAATAGTGCTCAATAAGGGTAAATTATGTATTTAGTATTTAGACTATCAATTTTTGTTTTTTTAATATTTAAACTTTTAATTTTTTAAAATCCTACATAGCATTTAGTTTTCATTTCATTTAGGTACATGTCGTTAAAAGCTTAACGCATTTAGTATTTAAACTATCAGTTTTAGTAATTAAACTTTTAATTTTTTCAAAACTTAACATTAAATTTTGAATGTATATTAAAATCAAAGAAAAACTAAATTTTAAGTATAATTTTAAAAAAATTGAAAATTTAAGAAGTAAAATGGACTAAAAATAAAAGTTAACTATTAGATGGGCTAAAATTTTATTGATGTCAATTATCAAAGAATTAAATTATTCATTGAAAATATATATTGTACTACTAAATTTATTGCATATATATTTAACAGCAAAGATTTGACCAAGGCAATAAAATAAAATAAAAGTAAGGATAAGTCTGAATACGTAGCGTAGACACGCGACTATAGTCAAGATTTGAGGTTCGACTCTAAAAATTAGGCTGGTCAAGAAGACTCAGGACTCGGGGAATATGGCAATGTCCAGCTCATAGAGCACAAGGTTCTTAATTTTGTGGTCGTGGGATCGAGTTTTACGGAGAGCATTTCATAATTCGGAGGTCTCCCACGGAAGCTGCTCTTAACCTGACGTTGAGGGCAGCCTACTTACCCAATGTGAAGTTTCTAACCGTGAAGAAAACCCTAATATGTGATAATTGATTTAGATCATATTTTTTTCGATGGAAACAAATAATTTTATTTAAAATAGGAAATTTCATTAATTACAATAAATATTTACAACTACAATGTAAATTAAGCACATAATTATGAAAAATTTCCTATAATCATTGAAATAAAACTAGCAACTTAAGATCACATAAGGACCATACAAGGAAATTTTAAAAATCTAACCAAAAAACTCGAATAAATATATATACAAACATATCTGATCGTATCGACAAACGAACCACAAAAGGGGATCAAACTATTAAAATATCACTGACAAACTGCAAATCAGACTCGAGCGACGTAAAAAGCTTTCCACAAACGTAAATGATGTATCTACGTCCAATCTGAGGATCCAAAGCAAGAAATATCAACAATATACTAGATAAGCTTCATATTGATTAGTTGTGGTGATGTCAAATCAACCTATAGAAAAAAATAAATGAAAAAAGGTAAAATAATAAAAAACATGTCAAAAAACATAAGAAAACGTGCAATAAAAATAGTACGAACCATCTTACCTCAGTGATTAAAAGAATCGTCGTTGTTCTAAATGTCACATGCTCAAACACCAATAGTTGCAGCATGGTGATTGAATGTTAATTGTCAAATGATTGATCGTATTTAGAACATGTACTATTTTGTAATCACATTCGCTTAATTAAAAAATAGCAAACCAATAAAAAAAATTGTATTTAGATCATAATTATAGTTTTAGTATATAATTGTTTTAAATGAATAATTTATATGTTAATTTTTATAGATAAAAAAATTGAATTTGATCACGAATCACGATTATCAAAATCATATATTTAAACCCTATTATTAAATTAAATGATTGACTATATATATATATACATACATAATCGTAGTATTGATAGTATATTTTAAATTCTAAACTTAAATTAAGGCGAACATATAATATGATATTAAATTGGATGACAGTTAATGAACGGTGCAAGTGGATAAAGGAGGGAGAAATTCATGCTATAATATATACCCATTTATATGTCTTCCACGAGATGGTAAGTGGGAGTTGTTACATGGAATCAAGTGAAGAACATTTGACTCATTATTTAGGGCTCCTTTTAATCATCTAACACAACTTACGGTATCTAAAAATAAATAAAGAGAAATTTGATTTCTGATCTTCCTTCCTTTTTTGATTTTATTTTCTCAGGGATTACGGCTGTCTGCCAAAGAGAAAAGATGGCCATTAATCACCGACTGAATATTCGAGCATTTATTCATTTCTTTTATGCCCTTATTTTCACACCTTCAACACATGTAACCGTGCATGCTCCTATGAATATAATCTCACCCAAGAAAGAAGTAACTGAGTTTAGGGTTTTGGCCTTCACTCTCTTGTGTTCATCACCAACTCATCCCTTCTAAGGATAATATAAAATATAAAAAATGTTATAAATTTTTTAATTAGAAATAATACAATGTTTAAATGTAACTTAACATCCCACGTAACGTACCGATTATTGAACTCCTTAATCCTTCAAGCTGATTACTTTTTTTTTCAATTAGCACGGCTAGTAAGATATAATTTTTCATTTTAGTTAATTATTTTGTGATTGTAAAAATTTAAAACGAACCATGAAAGACGGAGCGAGTTTTAACGCGTAAGAATCTCACGTGGGAACTCCGTTCACACTTCAAACCAGTTTACTTGCACCAATCAAGATCTACGTCTGAAAGCGTCGACCATAATTACTGTCCGAATCCGACCAACGAAGAGGACATGCAGACAACCGACACTGTTGAATTTCAGCTCAAAAGGTTGATCTACAGTCGCCGGTCAATCCTTTTTTATTCTTGTTCCCGTATTATATATTCTTCACTCTTCTTATCTCTCTCCATTGTCTCCTCCGCTTTATCTCTAAACCTAAAAGTCTCTTTCACACCTACCTTATAAATCACATCAAACCCTACTCTACTCTTTCTCTCCCTCTTTCCCTTGTGAGACTGCAAGTTGTTTGTTTGATGAAGAACAAACTGATCTTTTGGTGTATTTGAATTTGATTGACTTCTGTGGAGAGAAAAGAGGGTCTGAAGATGGAGGATCTGTCGGGGAGCTCATCGTTTTCTGGTTACATCTCGAGTAGTTTCCCCTTACAAAGTGTGTTCGATTTCAGCTGCGAAGAAGAGACGATGCCATTAGGGTTTATGGAGTTGCTGGGTGTTCAAGATCACTTGAACACGTCTTTATTTGATATGACACAACAAGCTCCATTACTAACCCGGTCGCTACATAATCCTTGTTCGACGAAGATCGACTCTTCCGTTGACGTGTTAAATCAGCCTGCTACTCCAAACTCTTCCTCGATTTCATCGGCATCAAGTGAGGCTGTCAATGATGAGCCTGATAAAGTGGACGACCAGGAAGAAGACCAGAAAAAGACCAGTAAACAGTGAGTATAACTTTTTTTTTAAAAAAATCTTAGTGTAAAAGACAAATGGGGGTTTGTTTTTTCATCAAAGTGATTTGAAGCTGATGAAGTGTTTTGTTTTTTGGCGTTTGTGATGGTGGGTTTAGGTTGAAACCCAAGAAGACAAATCAGAAGAGACAGAGAGAGCCGAGATTCGCGTTCATGACAAAGAGCGAGGTTGATCATTTGGAAGATGGGTACAGATGGAGAAAGTACGGCCAAAAAGCTGTGAAAAACAGCTCCTTTCCTAGGTAGTATTACTAACTTCAAAGTTCAAACCTTTTAATCCATTTTCGTCCCCCTTATATTGTTTTTCACCAATTCAGATAAATCTCAGAAAAACAACTTCCAGTTCCATGGTTTAATATTTATACTGTTTAATGTCACCCAGGAATTATTATCGTTGCACCACCAACTTATGTAAGGTGAAGAAAAGAGTGGAGAGATATTTCAGTGACCCGAGCATTGTGATAACCACTTACGAAGGCCAACACACTCATCCCAGCCCAATCATGCCTCGTTCAAGTCTTGGTGCGGGTACTTTTGGTATGGAGCCATTTGCTGCCATTAATGCATTGTATCCTTTGAACTTTGGCCAAAATGGTTCGTCCTTTAACCCCAGTTTTATCCATGAGAGGCGTTTTTGCAGCCCAGCATCGTCTTTGCTTAAAGACCATGGCCTGCTTCAGGACCTTGTACCATCCCATATGCTAAAAGAAGAGTAGTGTCCGTATGTATATGTAAAAAAAAAAATTCCCCCACCGACTTGGGTTGAAAGGAGGTATAGTTGAAAATGAGATCAGTTCATCTGGTATGTGGTTTTTCTTGCTTGACAAATGGCAATTTCTCTTGTACAAGGGACCTGTTGCCCGACCTTGATGATCATCAGTGTAACTTGGTTTTACTTTTTTGAAGCTATTGGCCAACGTTTTGCAGCTTGTCTTGTTTCTGCAACTCAACTCTTCTGGTTTTTCACTGAAACACAAATTTAATATAGATTTTGCTCAAATCATTTGGAAAAAAATGTTTGCCATTTACAAATTGCAGAATGCAACAATGGTGAGTACGGCAGGGAAGTTGCTCTGCTTTCACAAGTAACTTAAATATGTTGTGTTGGGAAGGAAGCAAAACAGGGGAGGAAATTAAAAGATAATAATGGAAGATCTGAGATGGCCCCATTTATGAGCTCTTGAGCAAGTAAATACATTATTTACCAAGCTTCCTCCAACATAAGCACTCTGATTAGCAGGTAATTTTTTCAGCAACAATCTTTGTGATGCTTCTGGGATTTGGCATAGATTCATTGATTGGTTGAAATTTAATTATAAAATTTCGATGGTTAAAAATGATATTTTGTTAGAAGTATTTTGAATTACATTTATACAAAATGAAGTACTAAAACACATATTTATTATTTTAATGGTCCAAGCCCCGAAAACCCAAATAAGTGTTAAATGGAGAGAAAGTTGACATACAAAGTTTAGTGGGTAAAAGAATCACGGTTATTTATAGAGTTTACAAATTCGAATATCAACAGTTGTAGCAGAGTGATTGAGCATTCGTTGTTACTTTAGTGATTGAGCGATAGTAAAATAAGTTTTTTTTATATAAAAATAGACTTAAATCTTTGATCAAAATATTGATTTAATTAAGTGGTTGGAGTTGCTCTACCCTTCCTACATAATTCATTATTAATGTCATTAATGAGATGTATTATCGTACGATTATAGAATTAAATTTATTAAATTAAAATTAAATTGATATAATTTAAAAATAATAAAAATCAAATATATAATTATATAAATATTTAACTATATCATGCCATTTCTTCTTCAAATGTTAAGGGGTTAATATCATTTAAATAATCTAATAATTAATTAAAAATTTGATAATAAAGTCAAATTTCTCACAATTAAGCGGTTATTCATATTGTTTACCTTGTTTTTAAATTAACATTATACTCTTTTAAGGTCCCGTTTAACGTGGCTTTCTAAAAACACTTTGAGATAAAAAGTCTGTTTCGACCACAAAATCAATGTCAAACAGGTAAAAAAAAATCGATGGTTTTAAACCAATCACAAAAAATATGATTTCTAGCTTTTTCAGTTTTAACTTTACGTTTGGAAACGTAAAACAAATTATAATTTTACTCTTACTAATGTATGAACTGCTGTTAATTATATACATTTTATTTTTTTAATTTAATACTAATGTTCTTAAAAAATAATTTATTATAATTACTAATATTTTTTTATCAAAACAAATATTTAAATTATTATGAATTTTATGTTCACATGTTAAAAAAAATTGATAATATACTTTTTTCTGAATAAAATATTTCATATATAAAAATATTGTTAATAACTTATCTTAAAATATTTTTTTATATTTTTATTATAGTTTAAGTTAATATATTTTATATATCATAATATAATAAGTATAAATATAATTTAAATATTATATTTTTAATTTATAATATAATATTTATAATAGATATTTTATATATTCAAATTCATTTTTAATAATGTCTGTATTTTAGAAGCCTCGTTCAACATGAACTATAAAGACCACTTTCTTTTAAAAGGAACGAAGAAAGATAAGGTTAGACGAAATAGCCGAAGAAGTGTCTTCAGTTAACGGTTCTCGCAGACATCGAAGGAAATTAAGCTGTTATTGGTTTAAGGTACATTCCTTTTTCTCTTCTGATTTTCTATCTTCTACATGTCTCTGCTTTTGCCCCCCCCCCCTTTGCCGGCGGCGAATTTTCCCTTGTTTTCTGGGCTTCTATTTTGAAGGGTATAAAAAGCTCTGGGTTTACTACAGTTTCAATTTTCTGCTGTGGAGTTGCATATAAAGAGGGTGGGAGCTGAATACTGTTCCACTTATGATTATCAATAGAAAGGATTGAAAATTTAGAAATAAATTGAGTTAGTAGATAACAAATTGTTTGTTTTTTGAACTTGTTTATCATGATGAAACTTTAGCTATTCACTATTGATAAATTTGGTATCGTTTTGTCCTTCCGAATTTTCATTTGAAGAGGCCTTTGTTTTGTTGTACTTTCCGCAACTAATGTTCGATATTTCATTGATAAATGCAGGATTAGCTGCAATTAGTGCCATTTTTATCCTAGTTAAGAAAATTTGTCCTAGTAAAAAGGGCAACTTTAGCTATGAAGCTGTGAAAGCTACATTCTTGAACGCCTGGAGCTGAAAATTATGGTTAAATTAGGCCTTTGGGCTAAGCTGAGAAAATAAAGTACATTTACCCTTAAGCTGCAATTAGTTCATAGGTTACCAAAGGGTGAAACATATCCCGTTAGGAAATTCCCATAAAACAAGAACCAAAGATATATAACCAAGGGGATTCAATAAGAGTACTAGGCAGGGCACCAGATAATAGCTGCTAACTATCGAGACGAGAGGATATCACCCGAAGTAATGATGCTCGGAGGCCAAGGCCAAAGGCTAATTATTTCACACCCCTTTCCGATAACCTGCTACACTGTAAAATCTTCCCACTCATTGCACCATTTCTCCCTAAAAGTACCTGGAAGACCCAAGCTGGTCCATCTCCCTCTAGCATCCAGCAGGTCTGACCAAACCCATCAGTACAAGCCACAAACAAAAACCCAAGACGACGGAATCCCAATCGATGATGTCAAAGTCATTGCCAAATTCAAAACGAGGCACAACTATATCCGTGTCCTACAAGTTTCTCGAAGCGCCGACCACCCGTTTGCCGGCTCTAGGCTTCTACTCCTCGATTCCCCTGGAAACATCCACAGCATTTCATTCCTCTTCAAATCACTTACCAACACTTACTTTGACGTTTTTGCTACCTTACCTCCCATTTTACCCCCTGGACCTGTTGGTATTCTAGGTTTTGGGGCAGGTTCCGCAGCTCGCCTGATGCTTGAATTATACCCTGAATTGAGAATACATGGATGGGAACTTGACCCCTCCGTGGTTGAAGTTGGAAGAGAATATTTTGGCCTTGAAAAGCTTGAAAAACAATACCCGGATAGGCTTTACATTTACATTGGAAACGCATTGAAAGCTAGTATTAGAAACGGGTTTGCAGGTATTTTAGTGGATTTATTCTGTAAAGGCAGTTTGATACCGGAGCTTCAGGATCCAACCACGTGGCAGAAGTTAAGGAAGAGCCTGAGGAAAGGCGGGAGAATCATGGTGAACGTAGGTGGTAGTTGCGTGGAGGCCGAGGATGAACGGAGAAATGGGAAGATGGTGATGGAAGAGACTTTGAAGGCCATGCATAGGGTTTTCGGTGACAAGCTTTTCGTTTTGAATCTTGGGAATGGAAAGGATGACGATAGTTCCCTCGCTTTAACCGGTGAATTGGCGGTGTCCGATCTTGATGCCTGGAAGAAGAAGCTTCCGCGTTCTCTAAAGGGTTACGTTGACATGTGGGCTGCATATCAGGATTCATAATCAATGTAAGAGGGATATATTTACATATCAACATTCGTCTTACCATGAATGCCCAACTTGGTTGGCATTTTCACTCATTTTGTATGTTGTGTTGTTTTATAACATCATTACCTTTTGCTTTATATATCGTTGTGATGTTCTTAGGATTTGTCTCACTGGGCAAGTCAAGCAATTTTACGTTGAATTATAATTTATTAGATTATGAATACTATTTACGTAATTGAATCAAGTAATTCAGGTTGAATGAATTTGTTTCATTTTTCCGCACATTTAAATCAAATATAGCTCTTGCAAATCAATTAGTGGGCTACATTAAAGGTTGACCTTCAAGCCGACCTAACCTTGAAATATGTTCTAAAAGAACTGCAGGAATCTTGGGACCATTAAATTTTTAATTGTTAACCGATGATTTTATTAATTCTAATAATTTAAAATATACTTTTCAATATGGACATTAATTGATTCGTTTCCTTCTTTTGAATAGTCAAATAAAAGCGTAGGAATATTACTTATTCCACCGGCGAGAGTGCCCGTTACCATCCCCGGAGTAGCTGACACGTTCATACAAAGACAAAACTAACGTCGGCTTGTGCACCTAAAATGTTAGTATTTGTTACGTTAAACATTTGAATGAGTCAAAAAATATTTTATGCAAATATTCGGAAATAACGGTATAATTTGAACACTTATTTTTGATATTAAATTTATTTTTTAAAGATTTTTTAAAGAAAATATTAATTTCTGATTTTTTTACGAAATATAAAGGCCACTTTCTTTAAAAAGAAGCTAGTAAATCGTGCGGGTAAATAAATATAAGGTTAGACGAACTCAACGAAGGAATTTCGTTTCACTTAGGTGGTAGGTAAATACATTCTATTTTCACTTCTGAGTTTCTTATTGCTATACGTCTCTTCTTTTCCTATGATGTGTGCATTCCCCCCCCCCCCGGTCGGCGGCTTATTCTCGCCTGTTTTTTTCGGGGTTTTATCTTAAAGGGTATAAGTTTCTGGGTTTATTTCGGTTTCGATTCCCTCCCCTTTTTTAATCATTTTAACATAGAGGCTGTGAGCTGTTTGATTGTTGTCTCACATCTGATTGTATAGAAAATTATAGAAACAAATTCAAGTTTTACCGAGTTAAAATGATAATGACTAGTTTAATTCCTTTTATCTTTTAGTTTGTTCCGTTGGGTATCAGATGATGAATGATGAAGTTTTAATCATCCACGATTCATAAATTTGTATCTTTTCCCCCTTGGAATAAGCATTTGAATGTTCCTGTGTTTTCGTGCATATTCGGCTACTAATATTGGATTTTTCATTGACAAATGCAGGATTATACGCTTGCTTAGAGTTTCAAACTTTAGCTGGACTCTGGTGCGGACTGTTCTGTTTTGATTTGGTGAGACTTACCTTGTGTGATATTTCTTAGAGGTGAAGGGTTGATTCATGTAGACGGGGACCGAGTATAATAAGTTTACCAGTAGTGGGGAACATAATTATCTTAGGTTAAGGAGAATTAGAGGTTTTATTTTGAATGGATCCCTTGCTTGCAAGAGAAAGAGATATCGAAGTAGATCTCGAAAGTGGTGGGACTACCAGTGAAGATGAAAGAACAAAAGATCATGGTTCATCAAGTTTACAAACAAAGAGAACACTGAACGGAGTTTGGCGTGATCTTTGGAGCTTTGATAGAATAGTCAAGGGTGAAAGTGGCATAAACTCATGTAGTAGTTCTTCGAGTTTCGGGGGAGTTGAGGGTGAGAATGTAGAGTTGTTGACAGAAAAGAATTCGGAAGGAGAAGAGAATCATGAACTCGTGGCCCTAGCAGAGAAGAACTTGAGGGAAGCGAAGTGCAAGAAGACAAACACTAGGAAATCACCCAAACCACCACGGCCTCCGAAAGGTCCATTGTTGGATGCTGCTGACCAGATGTTGGTGAGGGAGATTGCTGAACTTGCCATGAGAAAACGTGCTAGGATGAAACGGATTAAAACAAGGAAGAGGATGAAGGACTCAAAGGCCTCATCATCAAGCACTAGCCTTTATGCTATGGTCTTCACAGTTCTCTTTTGCTTTGTCATACTCTTTCAAGGTAACTGACATCTTTTGAGTTTAAGAATTATTCTCGTCCTCGGATAAATATGACTCTTATCCTAATTACTGTTATAAATATCATGGACTGTACAGTACCAATATGGGAAATAACAAGATACCTTGGTTTGTTTGCTTCAAATTTGAATAACCTACCTTTTCATTTCCCAGTTTTCTCAAATAACTTTTTCATTGTTTCCAATTACCAGAAAGATTTAGCTTGCTGAATAAGCTCAATTTGTGTTATTACATAGTTTATGAATCTTAACTTTGTTGAGTATCTCTGCTTCACAATGTGACATGTCTAGTATTATGACATTGTAATACAATTTCAACTTCTCCAAAATTTTCCCCAAGTATTGCCAAATCATCTGTAAAATGAAAGAAAAATAAAAACTTGTTACATCGACTCTCAATATATTGATTTGTTTGCCTGGAACAAGAAAAAGCTAAATTGCCTAGAAAATGTCGTAAAAAGGATATCTGGAATGCCATATTAAGTTGTTTATTATAGAAGAATTAAATCTTCTTTTAAATTTAGAGTTCTTGAGCTGTGAATGGAGTGATTATTTTGCAGTCTAGATTGAAAGAAATTGTTAACGAGTTAACACAGCTTAAGGTTGTCTTCTCCTAGTTATTGACTTGCTTAGTCACCAATTCTTGTAGCCGTTAGCTTGAAATTTTAAGTCATAGGCGGAGTACAGTTTCACTAATAGTGCTTTTTCAGTTCTTGTTTTGAATTCGAGGTAGTACAAAGAAGCATGCTTTCATCTCAGATTGGTGCCCTGAAGATTGTCTTTTTTTCGCTCCTCTAATTTCTTTTCCTTTGAAAATGTTCATAAGCATTTTATGCCTCAGCCAATTGCTATTGATTTTGTCTTCCCCTCCTTTGTATGCAAAATGTGTGGTTCACAATCCAAAATTTTCCTTCTTTGATGCTGCAATTTCTGGGATCGGCGTGATATTGATTTGCTTGTAGGTAGAAGTACCAGACGAGGAGCAAGTGTGATGTCAGAGGGGTCTCCTGCACCCTCAGTTGGCTCAAGTGAAGGCCAGATTTCTGTTCAGTTTTACAAGAGCTTTCCTATGACTGGAAATCACCACCACGATCTTCCCTGGTACATATTCCTTTCACTTTCTCCTCGTTTCTATTATCAGTTCAAAGACATGTCCATATTTTTGTGAATGGTGATAAAAAAATGCAATGATAGATTTTCCAAATGTTATTTGGAAATGATGCAGCTTGTTAGAACAGCATGTTTCTGGTTCGGTTATTGGGAAGAAACCAGAAAAATTGCCAGACGAAGTGGAAAAATAGCTGCTGAAGTTGCCAATGTCGAATTATACGTAGTCATGTACAATGGTTTCCTTGGTCTAACAAACGTAAACAAAATTTTGATTGCGAGCTATGCTGATTTCTGCTTACATGAACTGAATGCCTAGCTCCAGTTTTTGTACAGTTTAGTTAATTATGTAAATTATTGCATGAAAATATCTGGTAGTCAATGGGGTTTAACCTGCCATTGCTAGGATGTGTTGAACTGGTGGTGATAGAATAAAAAAAACACGTATTTAGTTGTCAAAGAAGAAAATGATTGCATTTAGTAATTGCGCATGGACCCTTTAAATCATCCACCATCTCTATCCTGACTGGTGATCGAAAATGAAGCCTTAACTGATATTGTGGCAAGTGGTTTATATAATCCCAGAATTCCTCCTTGGTGTGCCTTTTAACTTTTGACACGTCTTGAAGTTGATGTTTTGATTTTGGACTGCCACAACGACTCTCACTAGGAACTACATGACCGTTTCTTTTTGGCGAGCTCTGTTTGCTGTATGTTTGTTAGGTCGAGGTGATGACAACCATAATCTCGAACATCGGATGCCCACAACCAACAAGATCATCACACGCTGGGTTCTTTCCCCCCTCAATTTTGGACCTTTTGGGGTCCTTTTTTGCCGGTTGGGCTGGCTTTGATCTTATCTTATCTCTCAACTTAATTAAGACCTGAGAAACGAAGATTGTGAAAGAAAAAGTAAGAGCTTTCCGATCTTTGACATAAATTAACAAATAAGAATGATGTTTCCAGTTTAATTCCAATATAGTTGCACCCCTAAGACTTTTAAGGTATAATAATTGCTTGCAAATTGCAAACGACCAAACTTATATACATAGTTAATTATATTCAATTAATTTAAATTTATATGTATTTAATTAATTCAAAATTATATACATAGTTATATCAAATAAAAATTCAGTAAGGTAAAATCACATAAATAATGAAGTGGGAAAAAAAGATTTCTCCAAATAAGGACTATTAGGCTTTGTTTTCTTAAGCAGGGTGTTCTTTATACAGTGGATTAATAAATACATATGAATCACCCGACATCTTTATGAAAACGTATAAAAGATTCGACGTCTTCCTAACCTTCGTGCATATCTCTCGACATAAAAATAATAATATTGTTGTTGGTGTCCTTGAGCTAGTCAAAGATAAACTTGCTTAGATTGTTGTTGGAGCAAAAGACGTGGGAGTTAGTGAACACCATCAATGGAATTTAGGAAGATAAAAAAGATAAGTACGAGAACTAATGCGAGAAAACATTGTACCTTTCGCATGTCTTTTGAAGATATCAGATGATTCATGAGATTTCTAATTAATATCGTAACATTCACTCTATTCTACAAACAAATCTATTTTCTTGTTACATTATCCCAGTGAATTAACCAGTCCAAATATGATGGTGAAAACACAAGCACCAAATGGAAAACAAAGAAGTCCATGTATGTCTCTTTATGCTAGAGTAGCCGTTAAACTATTCCCTTTCCATCCACATTAACGAAAGAAACGCCATAAAAGTTAGAACATAACATGTCGAAAAATATGAACACCTCTCCACAGCCAAGGACACATGCAGTGACAATACTATGTCATCTGCTAAACAAAACAATTGTGGACCACACAATACAATATAAAGATATCTGTGTCCATTGATACACTATATGTCATATCCTATTATATTTATAATATTTTCTCGGTCTGTATTTTAATTATTTTTATATATTGTGTCTGTGTCATGTCTTTATTTAATATTTTTAATTATTAGTTATAATAGTAACTTATTTTAGATACAAATATATATTCGTGATCACGGTCATAATAATTTAATAGAATGTTTCAATTTAAATAATTATTTAATTATTTCTGATTTACTTTTCAATGATATATGTAAAAGGGTTAATCTTTACATTAGTTTACTGGCCAGTTTGTATCAGCTAGAAAAAATGTTTTTTATTTATTTTGATTTTATACGATGCATATTCAAAGAGTTGACCCACAAATTGAGTTATTTAAAAAGTTGACCCACACATTTACATCAACGAGGGAATGAGCCGCCGACGCAAAATACCCGATTCCAATTGAAAAAAAAGTTGATTTATCAATCTATTGCCAAGTCAATTTAGGTTATATACTTAATTGAATCAATTGAAATGACCATCCAATTCAGTTGGTAGAGCAAAAGGCTCTTAACCTTAGGGTCGTGGGATCGAGTCCCACGGAGGGCATTTCATAATTTGGAGGTCTTCTATGGAAGCTATTCTCAACCTGGTATTGGGGGCAACCTACTATCATACCTCCTCTTACCCCATTACATATGGGAATAAGGGTCAGCTAAAATTTTTACTTAATTGAACAATTGAGGGGTTTCGCTAGTCGAAGAAAATGTATTGAATCTATTAAATATTATCAATGGTTGAAGAAGAAAATATTATTTTTCCTTAAAGTTGACTTCGAGCAACGGTGTTGGAGTGTGCGTTGACAATGATTGATAAAAATCTTAAACCAATATTATCTTATAATCGTCTCCTACTGTTAAAAAGTTATATATTTGATTCCTTGATATTTTCTCTTTTTATTTTAAAAGAAGTTTTTTTACTTTTAAATAATTTAAAGTGGTTATAAAATAATATTTGTTTGAATTTTTTTATTCTATGACAATATAAACACTCTATCGATATAATAACTCGAATTCTCTAAAGAAAACAATATTTTATACTATTGAGGTCACTAAATAAATTTATTTTAAAAGATATTTTTGGATAATAGACGTTGTAAATGGATATGCTTTATTTAAATTATTTTTAACAGTAGAATAATTATATAGTTATATCATATTACTTTTATTGTATGATATTTATATTTTATCTTACATTTAAATTATTTATTATTTTATCTTATATTTAAATTATTTATTATAATGATCAAATTATAATTATATATTTATTTATATTTCTACTCTTGAACAGTAATGACGTATAAAAAAGTCTTATATAGCCTAGCCATATATTATTTACAAAAAAAATTAAAATTTTTATAATTATTTGATACTTAATCAGTATTAAATATATAATTTTCATATTTATAAAAAATAATTTTGTTTTTATATTATATCATGTTAATTTATATTGTCATATATTTTTTTTTGGTTGAAACAGGTACAAAGGGCTGTTTAGATGCCCGTTCTATCAGAAATCAGAAACTTCTCGGCTTCCTTGGGAGGGTTCTGCAGCAAAACTGAATCCCCTTGGTAACTCCATAATTGCCTGGTGATAACATCCGCTACTCGATTTGCCTCTCTAGGTATGTGCTTCAGTTCAACCATCCAATTTCTCTTGAGCAAAATCTCTATGTGCTGCAGAATAGTTAATTTTCTGTGTTCAGTCGACTTGTTTCTGATGAGGTTTATGGCTTCTTTGCTGTCAGATTCCAAAATCACTTTCCTTTCACCCTTCATCCATGCAACTTTTAATCCCTCGTGAATACCCCAAAGTTCTGCTTCTAAGATTGAACAAATCCCAATTTTCTTACCAAAACCCCAATTCCAGTTTCGTTATGGTCTCTTGCAATTCCCCCGTACACAGCTTCTCCCGTATTCTGTCGTTTGGCTCCATCTGTATTAATCTTGCAGTAGTTTCTGTCTGGTTTTTGCCATTTGTATTGATCGCTATTTCTGCTCTTTGTATTTCCAGTCTTAGAACTTTATGTATTCTGAATATCTTGGGATAGTCTTAAGGCTTGTTGAATAATAGAGTCTCTTTCAATCATTTCCGGGTCGAAAATCACCTGATTTCTTCTTTTCCATATGTACCAGATAACAACGCTGAAAAAAGTAGTCCAGTTCTCGATCCTCGGTGATGGGGATTGGTTTGTTTCAATGTTTTCAATGAGCCATTCCTTTATGTTGATACTCAGGAACTTTTCCATTTTCTGGGTACCCAGAAGTTCAATCCATATCTGCAAAATTTTTGGGCAGAATCTCATCAAATGGTTGATATCTTCTGATTCATAGTTGCACATAGGGCATCTTTCATCTGTTGTCAAATGTCTACGGGCTCTTTCTGAATTGGTTAGTAATCTGTCGTTTCCTATAAGCCATAGGAAAGTTTTAATTCTGGGTATGCTATTATGCTTGGCAATGGTGGACCAGATTTTCTCCTCTGATGAATTGATATTTGCGATTTTCTTATAAGCAGATTTGACAGTGAAGACTCTTTTCTCCGAGGGAATCCAGCCGGGCGAGTCTGTAATGCTAACTTCTATTGGAGGAGGTGTAGCTTTCAATTTGTTGATGATTTGGTCTGGAAGTAGCCGATGAATCTTGTTCCAATCCCAGGTACTATTCTGGTTGATCATATCATTTACTTTGGATTTGTCGTTTTCCACTTCAACTGGATGGATACATGAATTTGATAAAGGGCCATTCTGATCTAGCCAATTGTCGTGCCAAAATTGAATATGATTTCCGTTACCAATGTTCCAGCAGATATTCTGCTTAAACTCTGACCAAAGGTTGCATATGTGGTTCCAGAGAGCTGAACCTCCCTTCTTAGTTAGCTTCTCAGGCAGGATTCCTTCCACTTTATATTTGTTTCTCATCACCTGCACCCATAATAGATCATTTATATTAATAAGTTTATAAGCCAGTTTAAAGAGAAAAGCCTTGTTTTGCATCCTCAAGTTCTTTAGGCCTTGTCCCCCATCTTTAATAGGTTTACAAAGGGTATCCCAGTTCACCAGATGAACACCTCTCTGTTCATTAGTATGACCCTAGATAAAGTTTCTAGTAAATCTTTCCAGTTCATCGCAAGTTCCTTTAGGGATAAGAATTGACTGCATAGTGTAAGCTGGAATTGAGTTGAGGACAGATTTAGCAAGGGTGATTCTTCCCGCCAAAGATAATGTCTTAGCCTTCCAACCTGAGAGTCTGTCTTTCACTTTCTGAATGATGCTGCTATAGGTGTTTTTATTGATTCTGTTGTGTAATAGAGGAACGCCCAAGTAATTTCCAAGATTGTAGACCTCTTTGATTCCAATCATGTTCGTAATAGTGTCTCTGGTTTGAACATTCAAATTGCTTGAGTAAAATATATTGGATTTCTGCAGATTAACTTTCTGACCCGAACTGCTACAGAATTTTTGGAGCGTATTCTGAATAACCTTAATTTGGGACTTGTCTGCTTCAGCAAAGAGCATAAGGTCATCTGCAAAAAAGAGGTGAGGAATGTTAGGACCTTTTCTAGACATTTTAATTGGTTTCCACTTACCTTGATCCACATTTAATGCAATTCCCTTGCGCTAATCTCTCCATGCAGATGACAAATAGGTAAGGCGAAAGGGGGTCACCCTGTCTGATTCCCCTTGATGGTTTAAAAGGCTCCGTAAGACCACCATTCCAGTTAATTTGGATCGTCGTGGAGGTAATACAATTCATAATAGCCATAATAAATCTATTAGGTAAGCCCAACTTCACAATACTATCTCTAATAAAGTTCCAATCTAATCTATCATAGGCTTTTTCCAGATCGATCTTGATGGCCAGGTACCCCTTCTTACCTTTCTTTATCTTCATAGAGTGGATAACCTCTTGAGCAAGGATAATGTTGTCTGTAATAACCCTTCCTGGTATAAAGCTTGTTTGGCTATTAGAAATTAGAGTAGGAAGAATAGGTTTTAAGCGGTTAACGATAACTTTGGTTATAATTTTGTAGGTAACCTGACAGAGGCTTATAGGTCTAAATTGAGTAATTCTATCCCGGGTTATCAATCTTAGGAATTAAAACCAAACACGTTCTGTTTAAAGCTTCTTCAATCTGGCCACCATTGAGACAGTGTTTGACTAGCTGGCAAACCTTTTCTCCAACTGTGTCCCAATTACTCTGGAAGAAGTTAGCATGAAACCCATCAATACCTGGAGCTTTTAGAGGATTCATACTGAAAAGAGCATCCTTAATTTCAATGTTCTCAAAAGGTTTATCCAACCAGTTCCATTGCTCCCTATTCAGATTAGGAAAGGGTCTAGAATTCTCAAGAGATTGCTTCACTAAAGGATCTTTTGTGAATAGTTCTTCATAGAACTTTTTAACATGGTCTTTAAGCATTTCTTGATCTTCGCACCAGGTCTCAGCTTCAGTTTTGAGAGCTGTAATGATTTTTTTCCTGCCCTTAGTAATCGCACAGGAATGAAAGTACTTGGTATTTTTGTCTCCATGTTTAATCCAATTGCATCTCGCCCTTTGAGCCCAAATAAGTTCTTCTTGTCTTAAAATTGTGTCAAGCTCAATCTTGAGATCAACTTCAAGAATAGACAATCTGTTTGAATTATGGTGACGAAGCGCTTTATCAATCCCTTTAAGCCTAGCAATTAATCTTTTCTTCTTCTGGTTAATATTACCAAAAACTTCTCTATTCCAAACCTTAATGTTCTCCTTGATATGGTTGAGGCTATCCATAAGGTTCTCATGTTTAACCCACTCTTTTTTAATGAAATGTTCAAAATCTGGGTGATCCAACCAGGCTGCCAGGAATCTGAACGGTTTCTGTCTAGAATCTTTGGGGTTGTCCATAGTATGTAAAAGGATAGGACAATGATCAGAGCCCATTCTGTCAATGTGTTGGACTCTAGAATTGGGGTAAAGCTCTAACCACTTCAAATTCATGATGCACCTATCTAGTCTTTGCCATAGGTTGCCCCGCCTCCAAGTAAATTCATCACCTTGGAAATTAACATCAATCAGATTGTTGTTGAAGATGAAATCTTGAAAATGGTTACTTCCTCCTCTGTACTTACTGCTACCACCTGTTCTCTCATCAGGACTCAGAATACAATTAAAGTCTCCTCCTAGAATCCAATGCTCATTATTGTTAGGCTTGAGCTTGTCTAGAAGATCCCAAATCTTACAACGAATATTGGGGTTGGGGCTAGCATAAATTACTGTGAAGAAATTCCAGCAGTTACTGTTATTATCCTTAATTTGAGCATGGACAAACTGGTTAGAGATACTTAATATTTTCACCTTAACCGAATTATCCCAAAGAATCCAGATGCCTCCACTGTGACCCTGAGCTTCGACTCTAAAAGAGTTGATGTACCCCATATTGTTAATAATTCTGTCAGCTTTCTTACCACTTGTGTGAGTCTCCATCAGGGCAATAATCTTGGGTTTGTGACTAAACACACAATCTTTAAAGTGTCTTCTAAAAGAGGGTTTAACAACCCCTTGAGTATTCCAAAAAAGAATCTTCATAATTATTGAGGTAATTGATTGTTGATTTGTGCCCGATCCATCTCTTCCTGTTCACCGTCTTGGTTCTGGTTCAGATCAATTTGCTCCAGAGATTGACTTTGGTTTTTTGTAGGGTTGTTGTAATCAGGAGGAGCCAAATTCTCAGAGTTCATGGATTTTTCTTGAATCCATTCTGAAATTAATTGAACATTAGGACTGGTAGAAGGTTTAGATTTACCAATTTTCAGACCTTTTTTGGTAAAATGGGAAACTTGCTTAGATTTTTTTATTAATATTCCATCTAGAAGTACGATTTCGTATGCTGTCCTTATCATGAATGGTAATTGATGTATGGACTCCATCTCCCATATTTACCCTGTGTTCACTAATTTGGATTTTTTCATTCGCCATGACTTGGATCCCTCCTATCATAACCTCCTTAGTATTGTCTTTGTTAGCTGCCATTTCATTGTCAGTAATAGGGACATCAACTAATCTATTTTCATCTTCAATGCTGGTATGAGTCATAGTCCTCTGGGTCTGTATTGTAGTAGTATTTAAATTATAGGGTAAATTACATATTTAGTATCTAAACTATTAGTTTTGATCCGTTTTAGTACTTATACTTTTAATTTTTTTAAAATCATAACTAATGTTTAGTTTTTTTTCATTTTAGTATCCAACCTTTAAAAGTTTAACATGTTTAGTATCTAAACTGTCAATTTTGGTTCGTTTTAGTATCTAAACATTCAATTCTTTCCAAACTTAACGTTAAATTTTGAATGGGGTACTAAAATGAAATAAAAACTAAATTTTAAGAATGGTTTTGAAAAATTAAAAGCTTAGGTACTAAACGTGTAATACCCTAAATTATAATACTTTGAATTTTTTTTTATAGAAAACCTCTAGTTTTATTAAAAATAGAAAATATAAATAATTACAATGAAGATTTACAAGCATAATCGTAAACATAAACTAAATTATAATTAGGACAATTTCTATGACAATTGACACAAAAACTAGCTACCTAAATCACACATAGATCAAAGAAGGAAAAGGTTCAAAAACCTAACCAAAATGCTCGAACAAAATAAAGATACGAACAAATCTGACTGCATCTACAAACAAACCACAAAAAGGAATGAAGTTACTAAAGACCACCGACAAATCGCAAACGAGAGTTAAGCGACGTGAGAAAACTATCAACGAACGCAAAACGATTATCCAAATCAATCCGAGGGTCCAAAGCAGGGAATATCAACATGATAACAAATAAGCGACATCTTGATCAGTTGTGATAATGTCAAATCTAACCCAGAGAAAAAAGATGAACGAAAATAGCGGCCAAACGAACAAAAACTACAAAAAAGGCAGAGATAAACGTGTCACAGAGACATAATGATTCTTATTAAAAAATAAAAAAAATAAAGAGAAGAAAACCGACGATCGGCAACCAGCATCAAAATTTGTGCCGTCACCGACTAAACAAAATTAAAGAAAAAGATTAATTTGATCTATAGAAAATAACACAAATTGTAAAGAAAATAAAAGAGGAGAGAGGAAGAGAGCGGCTAAGTATTTTTTCCTTTTATAATACTTTGTAATTTTAACACCTAAAAAAGTATATCTAAAATATAATCACAAAGTCTATATATAATTACTATATTTTAGTCACAAAACCTTTTTGTCGCAGTCAACTTTATACAATGAAATATATTTTTCTTCAAAATAAATGATTTTGGCATGTCATTATCGAATTGCTATCTGTTTATAACTAAACTAAGGAGATATTTTGAAAAGGAATATATACATTTTAAACTTATATTTTAATATTATATGTTATTATAAATTTTAATTTGACTTTAATTTTCAAATTGTTAACACCTTTATCAATATGAAATATTTTCTAATTTATTATATACATAAAATATGTTTATAAAAGATTGATATTTATTTTCGGGTAAACTATATAAAAAGTTACCAAAATTTTAGGGTATTTGCATTTTAGTCTCTGAAATTTTTGGAGGCAACTGTTTGATGGTCATCGGTTATTGCAGGTCATCGCTGATACCCGCGTCTCCTCCCATTTTTTTAATACCATAGCTCGATCTTTGTTGGGATTTCTTGGTTTAGTTGATGGTGTGGCACACGAAAGGATTAGTAATAAATTACAACTGTAACTCAATGTAATGATCACATATTAACCCTTTTTTAATGTCACCGTGACACCGAAAATTGCATCTATAATATAAAATCATACTAACCACGTCCAAAGCACCACAACCGTGACACTGCAGGTACAACTGCAACCCCAATTTAGTACTATTTCTGGTCGAGAGCTCTTTTGGTCTTCAGCTCTTCCATCTTTTCTCTCGTCGTATGTTCGCCGTGACAATGCAGTTAGTTAGTTTATAGTATTTTCTGGCTTGAATGTTTAAGGTTGTTGTTTGTATCGAGGCTAAAAGTGGCAGGCGGGTTATTATCTGATTAACTTCTTTCAAAATAAGTAAAATAAATACTAAATTTTATGAAAGGTTGATTGTCAGATTTCAAGTCCATCTACTGTTTGTTGACTGGATCATCTACCGTTTATTGACTGGTTCAGCTGCTCATCATTAATTGATTTCTCTTTGCTTTCCTATGCCATCATGACTACATGATCCTTATTCAGTATCTGCAACTCGTAAGTCGTAACCGTGTTGTGTTTGTACCAGTGGGCCAATCGGCTTAAACCGTGTTTGAACTCTATATTTATAGAGGTAAACAACCAAACATAGTACATCTTCAGTCAACGAATACCTTTTGTAGTAACTGAAAAAAATGGCCAAGTTTTTCATGAACTATTTTTCCTTCTTCTTCTTCCTCTATCGAGTCGTCTTCAGACAAGCTAAAAACCCCAAAGCTCTCCACAGAAACGTGAGCAATCTTCATGCAAACGAAGGTCAAATATTATACCACAAGTACCCTTCTTTTGCTCAGAGATGGCCGAACCTATCAAAAGACCAAACCATAGTGGTTTTTAGTGTCGAAGAGGCTTTGTTGAAATCCTCATATCTGTTCCCTTACTTCATGCTCGTGGCCTTTGAAGCCGGAGGGTTGTTCAGGGCTTTTCTTCTCTTTGTTTTATACCCTTTTCTATGCCTTGCCGGTGAAGAAATGGGGCTGAAGATCATGGTATTCGTTTGTTTCTTTGGGATAAAGACAGAGAGTTTCAGAGTCGGAAGTGCCGTTTTGCCCAAGTTTTTCCTGGAGGATGTGGCGTTGGAAACATTAGAGATGTTGAAGAAAGGAGGTAAAAAAGTGGCTTTCAGCAACATTCCTCGAGTGATGGTGGAGAGTTTCTTGAGGGATTATCTGGGGATTGACTGTGTCGTCGGGAGAGAGATGAAGGTGTTCGGTGGCTACTTCTTGGGTGTCATGGAAGAGAAGAAAAGAAGCAATGATGCTTTGGAGACGATGATTGGAAGCCAAGAAAATCTGGCAAGTTATCGTGATGTTATTGGCATCAGTAGCCTCAAGGAATCACTTCAACATCATTTGTCTTCTCATTGCAACGTAAGTTTGACATTCTTTTACTCTCCAAATTTTAGTATAGTAGAGGGACTAAAACCAGAATTAGAGCCATGGCTAAATTATTGCATTTGGTGCAACAGGAAATCTACCTGGTTAGAAGAGCCGACAAAAGAAGCTGGCAACACGTAGCAAGAGGGGAGTACATGAAACCACTCATTTTCCACGATGGGAGACTGGCTTTCACCCCAACACCATTAGCCACACTCACCATGTTCATGTGGCTCCCCTTTGGCTTCACCCTTTCAATCATCCGAGCCATCATTGGCTTAATGCTTCCCCATAAACTTTCAATCCCCATATTAGCCTACACCGGGTTCCACCTCTCCCTTTCTTCCGACCCGTCACTCGAAAACTTAACCATCACTCGGAAAACCAAAGGCCGCCTTTACGTTTGCAACCATAGAACACTGCTGGATCCACTCTACCTTTCGTTTTCATTACAAAAAGATATCGCCGCCGTCACGTACAGCTTAAGCATGTTATCGGAGCTGTTAGCGCCGATCAAAACCGTGAGATTAACCAGGGATCGAGATCGAGACGGTGAGATGATTGGAAAGCTATTAAAGCAAGGGGACCTAGTTGTTTGCCCCGAAGGAACCACGTGTAGGGAGCCTTATCTGTTGAGGTTCAGCCCTTTGTTTGCTGAGATGAGCGATGATATAGTCCCTGTTGCCATGGACAGCCATGTTGGCATGTTCTATGGCACAACAGCTGGAGGCTTGAAATGCTTGGACCCACTTTTCTTCATCATGAACCCACGTCCGAGCTACAATGTACAGATCCTTGCCGGTGTGTCGGGCGTGCCTTCTGGTGCCGGTAACAGCGAAACATCGAGGTTCGAGGTGGCTAACCATGTGCAGAGTGAGATTGGGAAGGCACTGGGATTTGGTTGCACTATGCTTACGAGAAGAGATAAGTACTTGATATTGGCAGGCAATGAAGGAACAGTTGATAAACACTAACCGGTACCATAAACACATTTTTTTGGGTGTATAAGATTGTACACTCTATTTGATTGATAGTAGAAAATAATTTGTACCCAAGACAGTGTTTTATTAATTATCATATTTGCATATATTATTCGATCATACATTTAATCCATCTTTCAATTATACTAATTAAGCGGTTGTTAAATTTTATAAAAATTAAAATAAGTTTATATTGGTGAAAGATGCATGCATTTAAACGGTTGAGCATGTCATTCTAATAGGTAAACTATATATTTAATACTTCAACTATTGTTTTTATTCTATTTTGATCATTTAATTTTTTTTTTTCAATATCATGCAAAACATTTGGTTTAGGCCTCGTTTTAATCACCTGTCATTAAAAATTTATATAAAGAAAAATAATAATTAATGACACATCAACATAGTCTTAATTTATATCATTTTGTTTTGTGTGATAACAAATTTTAGTTCCATCAAACTATTTCAATGAAGATAATAATTCAAATTTTAAAATTAATATTATTGAAACGAAATAAACAAGGAATATTGATTACGAGAGCTTAAAAGGAATTCAATGGCTTAAAGTTTCATATTAATATTTTAATAGAAAAATATATGTATAAAAAAATATTTAATTAAATATTTTTGGAGGAACATTTTAATAAATTACTTTTGAGAATTAATTTAGCTTTTACACTTGAATATAGATGACAGGTGATATATTCTAAATAAAGATTGGGACATCACAAAGAATTATATATATATATATATATATATATATATATATATATATTTGAGTTGCCTCATTGGAACACATCCCTAAAGATTATAATATCTTGTTGATTGTGATTTAATTTGATCCTTTCCAACTACCGATTGGCCATAGTATTGAAAACTGAAGACTTGCAGTCAAATCGTGACAGATCACAGATGTAAATAGATATAATGCATGCGGTGTCAACGTAATCGTTCATCAATTGTTGTCGATCAGAACTCTGTATATGACTTCACAATAGCTGCTACGCTTAAAAAAGACCCTTCCCTTCGATTTTCGATGTGTTGAAGAGTTTAATATCATTATAGAATATTGAGAGACCTCGTGTAAAAAATAATAATTATTTCATTAGAAAGAATAAGAGCAGAAGACATGCAATACCATTTATAATAGGTTTACAAGTTTAGAAGGTGAGGAAAGCAGCAATATGCCATTTTTTTAATAAAATAAAGAGTAAAGTATAGTAATGGTCACTGAACTTTTCTAAAGCTTTCATTTAGATCGCTAACTTTTAAAACTTGCAATACAATCCTCCAACATTTAGTTTGTTTGCAATATGATCCCCGACATTACACTGTCGTTAGTACGTTTGCAATATGATCACTGAACTTTTTAAGCACTTGCATTTAAGTCTCCCAACTTCTAAAACTTGCAACACAATCCTCAATTTTATTTTAAATCCCAAATTTTACAATTGAATTATAGCTTTAGAAAATAATTATGCATGCACTCAACTCGAAAGGCATCATGACAGGATAGTATATTTGGAACAGTTACTTGACCCTATCGTGATGCCTTTCGAGTTGCGAAAGAGACTGAGAGGTGAATGGGCTGTTTGGGATTTCATTATATCTGATCATCTGTTGGAAAATCTTTAACCACAAGGATTAAACGAACAAATTATTATATGTCATTTATACAAAATAATCTCAGCTTTGTCGGTGACTTTCAACAATGATACTTAATTCATTTTAGTAGTATTTGTCAACTCTACATTTCTAACCCCATTTTTTTCTCACAAGCATTTCATCGAACATCTATGCTTTACCTAAGATAACATGTACTCAATGGACCCTTATTCAAGTCAACACCTCCACATAATTCAACGTTAGATTAGAATTTTCTATGCATCACCGACTGAAAAGTTACGCTGGAAATGAGAAGAGAGAAGCGAAAAAGGAAATTTGAAATCGAAAAAGAATTTGGGGTTTAGAATGAAATTGAAGAATGTGTTGCAAGTTTTAGAAGTTTGAGGACCTAAATGCAAGTGCCTGAAAAGTTCAGTGACCATATTGCAAACCTACTAACGGTAGTGTAACTTCGGGAACCATATTGCAAACGGACTAAATGTTGGAGGACTGTATTGCAAATTTTAAAAGTTGGGAGACCTAAATGAAAGCTTTAGAAAAGTCCAGTGAGCATTACTATACTTTACCCTAAAATAAAACATGGAAATGAAAATCCATTAAAAGGGAAGGTTAGTATATCACAATTTCACTACTTATAGTCTAGGGAAGCATGTTCAAGTTTTTGACTCAAAGAAGACCTACTTACCAAACATGAATCCAAACACAATATATGTGCATGGAATAGCTAACACATTCATATCCATGAACCATAATAGACCCTCTACTAATGTACCCTAATCACTACAGTTTGAATCCACATAGTTATCAACAAAAATCATACCTGTGACCCAGGGCTCTTGGCAGTATGAAGATGAAACCAAAGAGTAGTGCCATCAGTTTGATCATGGCAACTTCCATGAGGCAGTAGCTATTTTCTTAAAATCATGAGATGCATTCTGAATAAGTTTGTTTAGAGCACTAACATGAAACTTCAAACTACCAACCTTAAGATTCTTAGTCTCCTTCTCCGATTTTATGGAAGCGTGTCTCTCTTGTAATTGTGTAATCTTCTTTTCGATCTCTTCCATCTCTTCATCAAATTTAGATATCTCCTTCGTATTCTCAATCATCTCCCTTTCAGCATTTTGCATCTCCTCTAGATGCTGATTATGTCTTTCTTTAAGTGAAAGTAGTTTATCCAAGCGGTGCTGAAGCAGAGTGACATCAAATCCATGTTTTTCCAAGTCACTAAGACTTTCCAAAATGCTGTCAAATGTATCTCTAGGTTCATCAAAATGCAACGTGGATATCTTCTCAAACAAACTAGCAAAGGATACCATGATACCAATTGCCGATCCTTCACGAAACTCCTCTCTGTTTTCAGCCAAAGGTAGAAAATGTGGTTTTTGAGGCACAACTCGGAAAACATCCATAGATTCAATTGTTCGCCATACAGTTGATCTCTTCACAAAAGGCAAACCCTGATCATTAACCAATGGACTTCTTCCACTCGCATCGATTTCAAGAGATTCAATTGGTACATCAACCAATCCTTTTTCCCCATTCCATCCGTTGAGAAGCCTAGCAGAGGGGAGTCCTAGAAAAAGATGATGCTAAAAATGTAATAAATATAAAAGCCAAGTGAAAGTCTACATTTATGTACGCACTAAGCAAGTGAGAGGGGAATGAAACCAGAAAAGAAATGAGATTCATAAATCTGAAGACACATCTTACTTGATTCTTCATCACCTGAAGTGTGCATTCCTCCTATCCAAGTTGACAGAGGTTGATCCTCATCAGCCAAATCAGAAATCCCAGGAGCCACCGTGTGAACCTCTTTTGTTTTGTAATCATCACTTGTCCTTCCTCTAGAATCTTCAGTGGCTATACAATTAACAGATAGGATGTTAATTTACAATATATAAGGTAACCCATAAGCTGCAAAAGATAACAGATAATTACATCACGTCAGGCAAAAGACAGCATAAGAAACAAGAAGAAAAAGTTGCTGGTACATGCATAACCTGTCTTCTGGTCATCACCCTCCCCTCCCCCAGCTCCCATGGGACAAAAATATCACCTTTTTAATATGAATCAATAGCCAATTCCTTTTTTCCTCGAAATTGCCCTCATTACACCCACTACTTTTCTATCAATTGGAACACTACTTAGAAAAATCATTTAAGAAAATGACGACTGCTGGTTACTTCCAATTATGTAAATCAATAGTTCAAGCCACACTCAGGTAGAGCATTTCCCGTTTTTATGGGAACTTCTGTACCAGAAACAATGGTATCTCCGATTATAGCCTCTCTGGGGTGTAAAATAACTCTTCTCACCATCCCCATAGTGTACAAGTACAAGTGCAAGGGTTAAAATACTGGAAGTGCTTAACCAAATGCTATCAGAGAGCCTTATATAGAAGTTCTATATTTTCCTTGAGGCTTATTAGTAACAATGACAAACCAATAACTTAACCCCCCCCCCCATGTACCTGACACTTCCACCCCTTTATGTTTTGACAAACCAGCCTCATCACTCGTATAATCTTTTACAGCTTTTTCATCAGTAATCCCTTCAGCCCCATTTTGCCCCTTACCTACCAATCGTAATATTAAGTTTGCATTGACACAGATTTGCATATAACCATCAAAAAGCTGAAAGCTTAAGTTTTATATACCAGCATCAGAAGCCTTTGGACTTGTAACTACTGATCTATCAGGTCTTCCTGTCTTCCTTTTCAGATCGTTGGCTCCAACTTTATGTTCTTTTGTTTCCTATATAAGAGCAATAGTTAAAATTACTAATATAGGAACACAAATCAATAAAGGGGATTCCCATTCCATGTTTGATAACATTTTAAGATACAAGAAACAGACCAGGAAGCAGCCCGAGACAATTTTCTATTTTAAAAAAATGAGTAACAACACCCAAAAGTTAACCACTTCATGAGGCATTATATATAAAACAACATTAGATATACTCTTTTACCTAACATCATGAAAACGAAAAAGAAGTATAGATCAATATTAAGTACTTCCTATAGTTCAAAGACAAACTTGTTCCCATTCAGAATTTGAGGCATTTCAAATTTAAAAGCTTATATTGATAGTTTTCTCTGAGCCAGAGACTAATATGAATTTTTTGCATACCATGTTCTGATTCCTCGCTGAATCATTTACATTAGATATACTCTTTGTGAATGCTGTTAATCCTATGACGATGGCCATTTCAGCTTCTTTTGTTTTAATCTCCCCTTTATTAGCTTCAGCAATCCGTGTAGTTCCATCCTTGCCTGAAATATGTAATACACATTATTTTTAATCAATATATCAAACTGATGCACATGTACCAATGGCTAATGTACCTGCTGTTGGAACTTGTGGGCCTTTAATCGGGGACTTTCTAGCTCTGACATTCCTTTGCACAAGGTCATTTGCCGTACCGTCAGATGAACCAGCTTTCTGCCTCTTAGTTGTCTGCATCAGTAAGGGGAAATGTACGTGAAATGAAGGTAGCAGGGACAGTGCTGATCAGGAATATTGACTGACGTAGCTAACAAAACCAAAATGGCAATACTCAATGAGCATTATCCAGTTAGAATGGTGATGTTGACAGAAAACGTAGTCGTTTGAAGCAGTTTGCTGCAAAGCAAGTGGGGCACATTGACTATCCCAGTTGAAAAACAAGTTTGCTTAACCCTTGAAACAACCCATTGAGCAGTAACGACAAAGTCAAGCAGACCAATTTGTTTGATGTAAACATGATTGTTTTTAGTTATTATGATTTGAAAGCAGCAAGCTAATTTTTACTTCTTTGTGTATAACTTGGCTTTCAAGGTTACAGTTAAGGGCACACATGATTTTCTAGCATATTTTAGAACAAAACATACTCTAAACACAGTGAAGTAATACAGATACTAAACGCAGTAAAGCACACCAGATTTTAAAGTGATAATTATCAATTTCACATCATCAAATAGAAATGTACTAATATGTGCAAAGGAAAACAATGGAGGGAATGAAAAAGATCTGACACTATTAGCATGAACAATGGAACTCCAAAAGAATAAATCTAACTCACATTTATTGCTTCTGTTGTCGGGCTTTCAATCTTAGCACAATGTTCATCACCAACCACAGCTTTCTTGGAGGATTTAGCACCTTTACCACCAGTCCTTGGAGTGCCTTCTTTACACAATGTTTCACTAGGTATATCTTTTAACTTATTGCCTGCGGCTGATATCGGTGTCTCCACTGCACTTCCTTCAGTTAGCTTTTTTGAAGGCCATGAACGAGAAGTGTAACCGTTTGAGGTTTCTGGTTTGACCTTCTTCCTGCTTGTGTTCAAAGCATTGTTTTCATCAGTGGAAGTTGACTTCTTCACAGCATTCTTGTTCATCTTTTTCAAAGGTGTCATATTCAGTGTTTTCTTTTTCAAGTTTTCCAGCCACCTTGCTGTTTTGGGTACCGAGAGCAATTGCTATCTGCTCTTGCTCATCAGACGCAATTATGACTTCCTGAAACACAGCTTATTGCTTAAGCTACCAATAGACAAATGCCATCTGCACTTGCATGCAACTAAAGTTTCGAAATAATTACAACAAAGTAATTGCAAACCACCTAAGGAATTGTAGTACAAACATTTATGGGATTCAACACAGCAACTATTTATATGTAACGTTTGAGAAGATTTTAAAGCAAAGTGAAATGATAATCCACAACATACCAATCTAGAGGAGATAAGACATAAAAACTAAGCATTTTTCAAAATGGAAATCGTTTAGGCCATCACTGAAATGAACAGAAACAACTTAGACACAACCAAAAAAGCACTATTTCAAATATTTATTTACTTTGCATTTTAATCTGATTAAAAGATAGTACTGGACAAATGTGCAGTACTACAAACACGACATAAACAGCTCATTCAATTATAAATAGGGAATATAATGGAGACCAATACATATCCCAAAAAGAAGATATAGAAGAAATACCTTGAATTTACTAAACCATTTGCCATCAACCCATTCCACGTTAGGCCTGATATCGGAGTGACAGAATTCCTTGTCCTCATTTCCATGCTTAAAAAAGACATTGTACCTTTTTCCAGTAAGAACTTTGGTAATTACTCCACTTCGCCAACCGAAGTTATATGTTGCATCCACTCTTTCCAGCAATTCATAATTTCTATCTGCATATCGAGGAGGAATGGGTCTGATATGGAGGGAATCGACAACAACTTTTACTGTCCCACACTCATCATGAGTGCTAGAGTTCTGACACTTCACCAGGAAAGTATTATCCTCATTTTCTTTTACGACTAGTACAGGATACCAAATATCGCCTAGGTTTTCATTGTCAATATTTACTTCCACAGCTGTCCCTGAGCTAAAAATGGAGCCTGTTGATTGCTTTAGAACACATAAAAAATTAAAAAAAAAATTAAACCACTCGCACGGCACCAAAAGTCAATCAGGCTGTTCAATCTTCAATTCCTCAAATGACTATAAAGAAGAGACACCATACTAATCTATTTGTGGAGGGGATGCAGAGATATGAAAAATATAGCAATTATGTGAGAAAAACCAATATATGAAGTCGACATATGTTAAATCTGACATAGCAGAGAAAGATATATTCTTTAAAATCCAGCATGCATTATTCAGGAAATTACAAAGTTTCTTGCAGAGCACACTAAATTTACATAACAAAAATTAGCAGAACTAAAACAAAGGAAACAGAGAAAGTTAAGCACATATGTGAGCTTTTAGCAGCAGTCATGAAAGCATAATTCAAGGAGCAAAATTTCAACGTAAAAAGCTACATGCAGAGAGATTCGCAATTTTAATATTGAAAAGGAAATCCCAAAATAAATGAACCTCAGAAATTAACATTTTCCTCAAAAATAAGAACACAAAAATTCAACTCCCAAATCCAACCCCAAAAGAACTGAAAATGAGAAAAGAATGGGGGGAGAGAATGTTACCCCATACCTGCTTTTCAGGTCGAACCCATTTGCCATCGATCCAGTTCCAGTGAACCCTCAAATATTCCTATCAAATTCAATGACATCAGGTGGATTATCGAAGTAAACCCTATATTTCGACTTTTCCATAACCTTCCTCACAACCCCAGTCCACCAACCGTCTCTGTAGCTAGCGTCGACGACGTCGTTTACTTCAAACTGCTGAGCACTCCCCTTCTCATTAGGCGGCAAAGGGCGGATATAAGAGGGGTCAACATATTCCGTCAAAGGGGAGGAGCCGTCATCGGCGAGCAGTGTCTTGTATCTAACCAAGGCCTTTTTGCGCTTCTTGGAAGTGGATTTGAGGGGTTCGAGGATTATGGCGGAGTACCAAGCGCCTCGGAAGCCTTCGTCGTCGCTGCTCACCTCCACTGGGGTTCCCTTGATGAAGGGTGGTTGTTGTTGTTGGAGTGGGTCAGCATTAGTACCAGGGTTCACCATGGTGGGAGGGTGGGTTAAGGGGTGAAGTTATGAGGTGTGGAGTCTTTCTATGCAGAAAATGAACTTTAAGCCAGAGGGGTTTTCCTGTTTTTTATGTGTTTTTTTCACTTTGGTCTTTTCACTTTGATTCCAGTCAAACAGTTACTGTTAATTGCTAGTGGCCATCCTTTCCGGATTTTCCATCATTTTTAAGAATTTCAAATTATTAAAGAAGTAAATTTTATATTTAAGGTGGGTTCGTTTTATTGCGATCGATTTTATTTATTTTTATTTTTTAATGTTTGATTTAAGTAAAATTAATTATAATTTATGAAAATAAACACGCCAATCTTTATAAAATAATTTTTATCTGGTTTTCGTGAATTATTTTTATAATTTATAGTGGAGTGAATAATATAATTTATTATATTTAGATAGCAATTGTTTTTCAAAAACTATAATTCAACTTGAAATATTCATTTTTTGAAATATAATATATCCTCATACTTTTACACCAATCAACGCCAAATTATGTATCCAAACTAGGATGACAACCGGTCAGCTTAGGGTCGAAATATACACTTTCCATTTAAATTCGATCCTAAAATTCCTACATCCAATCCAACACGATCCAAAAAATATATATCCTACATCCGACTTCGACCTAATTTTTTAGTGTATAAATCCAACCCGATCCGGTATAACTTAAGGATTTAATTAAAATAATAATAAAAATTTTAAAAAAATACATTATTACCCTCAAATTGGGTCAATTTTTTTCACTCTCTACCTAAACCCAACTTCACCTCTTAAAAATCCGACCCAAACCTAAAATTCTTTTTAAAAAAAAATCTAATTCAATCGAGTCAGATCAAATCGGAACCCATCGGATGCATGTGAAATTACCATCCTTAGTCCAAACTACATTGTTCATACGATAATATATTCGGTTTAAGAGAGATGGCTAACCTTATCTTAAGATTGAGATATTGAAGTAAAATTTCAGTCCGCCTAAATTCAAACTTGAATGAATAATTCAGTTTTCGGATACATTTGATTTATATATTAACCGCCATGAAAACTCAATTAATATTTATCACGGCCTTTTCAAAATAAATAAATATTAATATTTATTAAACCAAATATATTTTTCTACTACATACTTTCAATATAAATCAATTTTGAGGAAAAAAGAAGAAATTACTACTACGAAAATAACGCTCGGCAGCTCCTACAAAGAAGTCTAAACTTGCAATGAATCACATAACCGGGCTGGTGAGAATTTGGCCAATCAGAACAAAGCAATTTCATCATTTGCTTATACGAGGCTACTTTCAATTTGCTTGCTCACCCTTCCTTATAGATCAGAAGCCTTCACCTTTCTTGGCCTTTTATGAGCTCCTGCTGCTGGTGAAGATGGAGTCTCGGATGGCCTCCCAGCTCCCTACACCGTAATATGTACACATCTTAAGACCAGATAAGTCCTAAACTTACGTTTTTGCTTCCTTTTTACTCCTCTATCACCTCGAATTCCCATCGAATATGGAAGTAAACAAAACCATTAAACTCACCTATCTTGGATATAAGAAATAAAGGAATATATATATATATATATATATATAACCTCCAAAACTAATGGTGTTGAGAACAAATGTATGGTCCTGATCTGCTGTTGTGATCGCTGTTCCATTGACAGACCCACCCCCCAAAAAAAAATTCAATATTCGAACCATTGTCATAATCACACATCTAAATCTATATGAGAATAAAAAGGATCAGAGAATCAGATTTTCCTCCTTTGCCATGCCTGGTATATCACCATACGAACCATCACAGAAAGATGAACCCTCTGCCTCCTTTTATTGCAACTGTCAAAAAGACGCAGAATTCATAAAACTGTGAAAGCAGCACACTGCACACCGCTTACAATACTGTACACTACTCTAATCAATCATAATTTGTGAACTTTTAAAGCCATTGCTTAACTTCGGTGCTCAAATAATCAATCATCATTCAAAATTTAGGTTTAATTCCAAAATTTAGGCTTAACAGGGTATTCTTACAATGACAAAATCACAAATTAGCATACTCCAAGTTGAAAAAAAAGGTGTTGAATCCAACCAGTTTCACCTAAAAACATAAAAATACCTTACATTTTGAGAAATCAAGATTTAGTAGGCTCATAATATGAAATTCTGTGATGAACCCTTACACACAGAGTAAACTTCGTGTATAGAGAGTGCAATTAGAATAAGCAACCATTATAGAGAGTGTTTTCATGTCTGGTCATCATACATTTAATACAACGTTATCCACCCATAACTGATAGAAGAACATACATGCACATAACTAAAATTTCATGTAGCAGAGACGAACCCCAAGATCTTGTAAGGTTTGCTCAAACCGCTTGACAGCCCGAAGACCAGCAGATGAGCTTGCAGGTTGGACCATTTGCTCCAGTGCATAAGTTCTCAATATACCCTAAGCTGAAAATTATATCAAAGAAGTCGAAAAAACTTTCAGTAGCCTTATGGTCTTTGGATCGAGGAGGCTCCACCAGCAGTTGAAGAAGCAGCTTCTAAGATAGGTGGTGGGTAGATCCACCCGGCTGACCTCGTACCGTTTTCCTCAGACAACCGGAGACCGCCTTCCCATCCTCCGGACCCTTCTCAAAATCACGACCCTCTGGTTCCCAGAGTGTTGAATTATCAAGAAATCTCTTAGAATTTGCACCTCTGATTTTTATTCATTCAAAAGATCATATCATGCTTCACGTTTTCAGCAGCTTATATAGCAGCTTTACAAACCCTTAAAACCTCCTTAACAGAATTCTGTTACACAATTAGTAATACCATTCTTGTAACTAACAGCCTCTAGAATCATCTTTAACCATCCTATACACACGCACGCACAGGAGCTTCCATGGGACTGCTATATCATATGCAACAACTCTCAACATTCTCCCTACTTCTTCTCGTCTTCAGCAATCAACCAAACTTTTTAGCTTATCACGAAAGCAAATAAATGCTGATTTTGACAATGGCTTGGTCAAACCATCGGCAGCTTGATGAGCTGCAGGAACATAGCTCACATAGAGCTGATTTGCTGCAATTTTTTCTCGTACAAAATGAACATCTAAGTCCACATGTTTGGACTGCGAATGATATACGGGATTAGCACCTTAGAGCAATTGCACTTGTGTTGTCGCACCATATAGTGGACTGCTTATCACGTGGCACTTTCAAGTCAGCAAGCAAAGCATCAACCCACGCTACCTCTGCTGCAGCATCTGCAAGACTCCTATACTCAGCTTCCATGGTAGACCTGGAAACTACCTTTTGTTTCTTTGCATTCCATGACACGAGACTATCTCCAATAAAAACACAGTGACCAGACATTGATCTCCTGTCATCAGCACAACCCCCCCAGTCAGCATCCGAGAAGGCTGAAACTTGCAATCTACCTGGTACAAACGCAAGACCATAGTTCAGTGTCCCTGCCAGGTACCGTAGAATACGCTTAGCAGCAAGTAAATGTTGCTCTCTAGGAGCATGCATAACTGGGCCACCTTGTTCACACTGAAGGCAATATCAGGCCTTGTGTGACAAACATAGAGTAGACCACCTACCAAACTGCGAAATTCACGAGCATCAGCAAGCAAGTGTCCTTCATCCTTATTCATCTTGAACGAAGCAACCATGGGAGTAGCTGTGGATGTAGCTTTGACCATTCGCGCCTTCTCAAGTAGTTCCAATATGTACTGTTTTTGACTAAGAAACAACAATTGATCACATCGTTTTACTTCAATACCTAAGAAGTAATGCAACTCACCTAAGTCTTTTAGGGCAAACTGATTTTTAATAGCAGCACCACTTTCTCAATTCCATCCGACGATTGTCCTGTGACTATTATATCATCAACGTAAACTAAACATAAGTCGATACTCCATCTGTTAAAACAAACAGAGAAGCATCAGCTCTGGACTCCTTGAAACCAAGATGAAGTAGTTTTTCCTTCAACTTAGCATGCCAGTTTCGTGGTGCTTGACGCAGGCCGTACAAAGATTTTTGAAGCTTGCAAACTAACTTACCACCATCGGGAGTGTATTGCTCGAAACCAGGTGGTTGATGCATGTATACGTCTTCATGCAAATCACCGTGAAGGAATGCATTGTTGACATCCACCTGCCTCAATGACCAGCCTCCAGATACGGCAAGAGCAAGGACGACATTCAGCGTGGAGAATCGAACAACAGGACTGAAGGTTTCCTTAAAATCTTTCCCGGGCACCTGAGAGTACCCTTTAGCCACCAGTCGTGCCTTGTATCGTTCCACAGACCCATCAGGATTATGCTTTATCTTAAAGAGCCACTTGCAACCTACCGTGGTTCGCCCTTCGGGTAGTTTCACAAGCGTCCATGTGTTATTGTTCTGAAGTGCAGTGAGTTCAGCATGAACTGCTGCACTCCATTCTTTAGACTTCATCGCTTCATCAATGGATGTAGGAAGAGAGTCACTCAAGGAACTAACAAATGCTTTGGGCTTAAAGATCCCGCACTTGCTTCTTGTTAACATGGGATGCTGATTGATAATGTCAGATTTTGCTCAGGAGCAGCCTGCATGTGATCATTAGTTAGATGCTCAGGCGCTGCAGAAGGTAGCTGGGTATATACAATATCTTGAGACTCAGTTGTGCTGTCTTGTTCAGCTAAATTATCAGCAGCACCTTGCATACTGGAACCCATATCATGTTGACTACTAGAGTCTTCATGCATATGCGAAGACGTGTGAGAATGTATTAAAGGTTCAACAACATCCTTTGCGTGTACTCGGTTTGACACAATCGGTAAAGGTGCCGATTGCCACGCATGGATATCAGATATACAACCAGATTGTTGTTTCTCTGTAAACGGAAACACATCTTCATCAATTGACATGTCTCGAAATATACACTCTACCATCCTGAGCAAGACACTGAAATCCTCTGTGCTGGGAGCTGTAACCAAGAACACACATGGAGAAGAGCGAAACGTTAGCTTATGTTGTTGAAACGGCCTCAAATGAGGAAAACACCGAC